ACTGTGGCTTAAGGATAATAGGCTTTTTGTTAATCGTGACAAGTACTATAAACATCCGGTACTTCATTTTACATAACCTAAACCTCTCTCATGAATCGCTCTATCCACAGGTGAAAACAGTATGACAATCCGTTGGGTAGAATATGATCATGCGGAGAAAAGTATATAACAACAAGTAGGAAAATAATGGGCAAAATCCGCAAAAAGGAGGAAAGTGGATTCGATCAGAAAATAGGATAGGTAACCCGAGCGATACGTATTTCTGCTGGTTGGCTTCATCAGGCCCGAAATTAATGCACATATGAAACTACAAAAGTAGATACACAAAATTCGAGGTCGTATAGCTATTTTATACTACAATGTGTAGGTTGGCTCTTGTTGTGGACTTCATGTGTCGTTTTTTTTCCCTCCAACTTCGTTTCCTCAGGTTACACCCGTATCCGGATGTGTGGGCATGTGTATCTACTTTTGTAGTTTCATATGTGCATTCATTGCGGACCTGATGAAGCCAACCAGCAGAAATTTTCTGCTCGAATCCACTTTCCTCCTTTTTGCGGATTTTGCCCATTATTTTCCTACTTGTTGTTATATATATATATATTATATATATATATATATATAATATATTAACGCCTAAAAATTTAGATCTACCCTTCCCCGCTCCTACAACCCTCGTCACCAATTACTATTAGCCCCCTCAAAAAATGTTCAGGAACCTCTTAAACGTCAATTTTTGCGATTTTTTTATTTTTGTCCGTAGCTCCGCCGCCAATGGCCCAATTTTCAAAAGCTATAAAGCTTTTTCGTCCTTGGCATGGCAGTAACCCTGTGTGAAAACTTCATCAAAATCCGAGCGGTACTTTTCAAGTTATTATATCATTTTTGCGATTACAATACTTCCTCGCCAGTGGCATGGAAAGTAAAATAGTAGTGGAGCATAACTGAGAATACGACACTCACTTTTGCAAAAACAGGCCCGTACAATTTTTCGCCATGAATATGTGTACGTAAAATTTTCCTTAAACTTTACCATATATGTATATCGTTTACCCGAGTCACAGCCTGCACTATACAGGTTGTTCATTTGAAAACTTCCCACGACGGATTTACGGATTTATCAAAAACCACTGATTAAAAGGAAAAACGCCAAGACACGTCAAAAGATTTGTCAATGGGGACATCTTTTTAACCGAAAACTACCTGACCCTCTGCCCCTCAGAGTCATACCCTCAAAAATTTTAAATGATAAGGGGTATCGAGTAATAGCTTGTTTGAAAGGTCTTTCAAAGTTCTTTATTTTGACGTTTGATTTCAAAGAAACGGTCGATTCGTTTTCAAGAAAATTAGAAACATCTTTATTTATCTTAATTTGTTCAGATAGAAAAGAAAAACACGCGAAAATATCACTTTTCATTTCAAGTGTTCTAAATGTTGCCGGTTATTGGCCAAACGATGATATAGGCGATGTTCAAATTCCTGACGGACATTTTCAAAAACATGTAGGATATCAAGGCAGATTTCGATGATACGTTAACGAAGTTCATCCAAACTTTCAGGACGGGGAGTAAACAAAATACGAGTAGATTTCAAATGGCCCCATAGAAAAAGTCTAATGCAGTCGAATCAGGAGATCTAGCAGGCCATTCTATAGGCCCTCTTCGGCATATCCATTTATCTGGAAACTCGTAGTCTATAGTAAAATATACCAAAATTGATGACAGTAGCGAAACTCATAGTACGCCACTGCTATTACGCAGAGGCCTTCGAAAATGCGGCGCTTCTTTGTGAAATGTCGGTGAACGTCGCTGTAATCAAAAGGTACAGCGTCAAAGCAGTGGCGCATGATGACTTCTGCTACTGTCATCAATTCTGGTATTTGACTATAGCCATTGCCGATCCGGAAGAACATAGTGAGGAGGAGCACCGTCTTGCTGAAATACATTTCAGCCTCATCAAGTATAGGGTTTCCATCGTCTTCGGTTTGGTTTTCAATAGTTTCTGTCATAAGCGGATTGATGAAATTTTCCAAATAAATATCTCCATTCAAATTTCCATTAATAAACAAAGGCCCAATCACTTTGTTTCCTAAAATGTCTGTCCTTACATTAATTTTTTGGGGGTACTCGGTATGCCCTTCTACAAAAGCATGATGATTTTCATTGCTCCAATACCTGCAGTTATGCTTATTAACAAATCTATTTAGATAAAATGTGCATTCATCATTGAAGCAGATATTCTTTACATGAATGGTATCATTAATCGCTGCAGGGATTTGTTCACAAAAATCAACTCGCCTATTGAAATCATCTTCGGTCAACTCTTACAATATTTTCATTTTGAATGGATGAAATTTATGGAGTTTAGGAACTGTGTGTTCAGAGCCTAATGAAATACCAGTCGCAGCAACAATTTTGCGTAATGAAGTGTTAGGATTCATTCCAAAATGACCCAAAACTTCAACTTGCGCGGCTTCATCCAAAACTCTCCGATGATCACGTGTTTTATTTGCGACAGATCCAATTTGAGTAAAATCAGTGACAAGGTCCAAAACATACCTACAGTATGTGAAGTTATCTTCACTGGATGTCTGGCGTTAAACGTGACGGCAGTTTGTCGAGCACACTGATTTTGGGCACCATAGATGAGAATCATTTCCACTGTTTCGGTTAGTGTGTAAACCATTTTGGAATTAAAATCTGAATCAATAAACTAATTTGCACTATCCCAAGATTGTCACAAAGGTGACTGACATCAAATTAAATTTGTTCTTTCCCTTAGCGACAAATAACTAAACAGGTATAACAATAAATAGAATTCGCTCAGGATATCTGTGTTGATGACAAGAATAGGGAAAAATTCGGGTTGTTATTTGGTTGTTGCCACGTCTAATCTCCCAAATTGCTGTTTATGTTGGTACTTTCCGTTTTAAATTATAAACGAATTCTAGATTTGGCAAACCCTAACGGACAACATTTTGAACACTTATTGAAATAAAAAGTGATATGTCCGTGTTTTTGTTTTCTATCTGAACAAATTAAGATGAATAAATATTTTTCTAATTTTCTCGAAAACGAATCGACTAATGTTGAAAAGTCAAACGTCAAAATAAAGAACTTTGAAAGACCTTTTAAACAAGCTATTACTCGATACCCCTTGTCATTTGAAATTTTCAAGGGGTTGACCCTGGGGGCCGAGGGTAAAAGGGGTAAAGTAGTTTTTGGTTAAAAGTTGTACCCCTTGACAAATCTTTTGACGTGTCTCGACGTTTTTTCTTTTAATCAGCGGTCTTCAATAAGTCCGTGGTGGGCGGTTTTAAATAAATCCGTGGTGGCAAGTTTACAAATAAACACCCTGTATAATGCCACCTGAAACTGAACTGATCTACTGAGATTCTGTATTTTCTTAAACTCGGCAGTTACGTCCGTTCATACTGCCATTACAGACAAGTTCTCAATAATTATTCAAAGTTTTGGTTATACAGGACTTACTAATTTTTTATTAATCTTATAACCAAATTGCTTTACGAATCATTACACTTGTTCACTAATTGACTCCATTCATATGTGTTTAATGGCCGTTTTATTAAAATGTAAACATTTTTTATCTCAAAATAATTATTAGTCACAGTTTAAGTAAAGAAACTACCCACGTGACTAGTATGTGTATGAAATGTTTGATAACCAGATAAAAGTAAGAATGTTTCCCAAAGGATTATCCCCTAGAATAGCTTTTTTGATCACTTTCAAACATATTTACTCAATAAAACACTATAACTTCTTATTATGTGACCATTTCACTCTTATTTATCACATTTTGACTTTTCAGTTCTCCCTCACAGGTGGAAACTATAGTTTGATATTTATTCGTAAGCAAGTAGTATATATGTCGTAGTCAGATTATAAAACCTGTCGTTTTATAAAACGCCTAGTCGTTTTATAAACGGCGGCCAGTTTGTCAAAAATTAATTATCAATTCATTATTTTGCTATCTGGCTAGCCATTTTATAAAACGACTGGGCGTTTTATAAAACGACGCTGACTACTTGGCCAAATTATCAAACGCTAGAAAGATATTCATCGTTTGACATTTTGGCGGGTGATGCATTTTAGTCTTTTAAAGAACGGCGGCCAGCATTAGCCAGATTCTCAAATTTTACCCATTTATTATCCTGGGGCGTACAAAGGTGTTTAGTGTCTGCACTGTCTGCTGATTCGCATATTCTTATGACATAATTCCAGTTTTGCTTGGTTTGTCAAGGTTTAAATGGTCAAAAATATGGACCCTGTTAAAGTAGCAGCGGTGGGAGTAGATAAAAACTACTTTTATTCCCAGTTAGGAGAGTTTTATAAAGGTAAGTAATGAGACCTAACCAGTAGTCCATGTTCCAATAAATGAACATTTTGTTTATAAAACTTGTTTTGTTTTTTTTATTTAAGTAAACATGTAAATTTACATATATAAGAATGTTAAACGTTTGTTTAGTTTTGTATTTTTATATATTTTGATACCTGCTCAATGCTGCTAAATATGTATGTTATCAATATATTTTAAATACAATTTGTATTTTACAAACCGACTAAAGTACTTCACCCGCAAGAATGTTAAACGTTGAAAACATTACCGTTTGACATTCTGGCAAAGTAATCACGGTCGTTTTATAAAACGTCTAGTCGTTTTATAAAGTGGCTAGCCAGATAGCAAAATAATGAATCGTTGAATGAAAATTTGACAATCTGACCGCCGTTTATGAAACGACTAGGCGTTTTATAAAACGACAGGTTTTATAATTTGGCTACGACATATATACAAACTATACCACATCTTTGTTATCAGAATTGACCAAGGTATCCTGGGACACTCCATGTATTTAATACCACTTATCTAAGACTTCACACTTTTTTGACGCCTCCGATTTTTTTCAATTAGGAATAGATCTACTAGGATAGGCGGTAATACTACAAAAATAAAAATAGTAATTGTCTCAGTTCCAATACGGTCACATGCACTCGAATTTTTTACGTCACTCGCTTCGCTCGACCATAAGGTATGTACTATTAAGTGATACAGATTCCTGCGAAGTTTTGAATGAGTTAGAGTTAGTAGAATTGAGGTCCTATTCTGATAGTTGCTCATATTATAATTTTATTGCCGCACTGTTTAAGCTTTCCTAACCCTAGTTTCTGAACAAGGGAGGAAAAACTAAGTGTTCAAAAACATAACTCAATAAATAAACAAATATTAGCTTCACATGAATTATAATAACTAATATTTGTTAATGTGTATCCACCAGATGAGAACGAGTAGGTAGTAAAAGAAATCAGCTTACCAACAATCATTAAAAAATTAAAAAGAAATAATTTAAGTCTTAAAAAGTAGCTGCAAGGTTATTATTTCCATTCCGAAAGGTCATTTACCAGTTTTTACATTCTACATGACTGAAGTCACATGAAAAGATCATGTCTTAGATCAAAACGTCATCTGGGCTCTCAATGCATACGTGAACTTCCTAACATTAGCTTCAAAAAAAGGGGTGGATAATTTCTGGTTTCATCCAATCACCAGCACTTTGGAGCCTCAAGCATGGACCAAAACCTAAATTCCAAGGCCCGTTATTGAAGCAAATACTATTTTTAAGCTCAAAGCTCACCTTTCAGCAAAAATTTTCTCCTTCAGTGCTGGATATCTAGGGCTCCTAATACAGCATCACAGGGGTGAATGAAACCAACAAGAATTCACGAAAATAACGGCGAAACCGATTGTAACGAATGACGAAAATTACAACAGGGCCATAGTAACCGAACGGTCTCCTGTACCACGAAAAAAAAGAATAAATCGTATCCGGTTTCGAAGTGTATTACCAAGTCTAGCAGCCTCGACGATCAACGTTGTCTGTTTTGTGTTTGTCTTCGGCCAGTTGCTGGTGCTGACTAGCGAGCCACTTGCGGTGTTGCCGGATTGTGATGAGGATTTTTCTCAATACCTAGCATCCGATACGGTGCAGTTTTCCAAAATCTAGGACAGTCGCTACGGTAATAGTAAAAGGTGAAGAATAAGTCTTCTTAGACATGTAACATAGAAACTAGCAACATATGCGAAAGCTATAAAATATTATGTTTCATAACAACATGATAAACCAAAATCTTGGGGATTTGAACTCTTTTAAGCTTGTTTTGCTCTTTGTCGATTTTGAAAATGAAACCTTGTTTCGGAGTCACATGCCCTTAAATAAGTTCACTGGACATCGCGGATTTACTTAAATCGTTTTAGAAGAATACTGCATAATTAAACAATTTTTACAGCATAGTAATACTCACAACAATTAACTAATTTAGATCGCCAATGAATACTCCCAAAGTAATACTGCGATTCTTACTGCCTATAACAATAATAATTCCTCGTTTGTCTGGCCGAATCAAACCACATACATATTCAAAATTCCTCTTTATTGTACAACGTTTCGGTGACCTTTTTGAAACAAAGAGGAATTTTGAACATATACATATGTGGTATGATTCGGGTGATTATTAGCATGAAAACAGCAGCATAAGTTTCATATGTTTCATTATTTATAATAATAAAGTGATATTTCTGGAAAGCCGTATTTTTGCTTATTGCCATGTAACAGATGATACTTTCACTTTAAAAAACATATTATGTACGTTGTTAAAAGCCCTAACTTCAGTTCTTACAGTGGAAATGTAAATTTAGTTGACACATGCAACGTGTACAATTTGTGTAGTTGTGTACAACCTATCGTTTACGAAAATTAGTAAGTCATGTTCGATCTTAATTATGGGAAGGCCCTCTCTGTGTATCAGGAAAATGAGAGTTTGTAAACAAGAGGCCGGGTAGAAGGAAGGTGGGAGGGCGCAGTGAGCCACTTTTCTTCGCTGCTTGCGCGGTTTGAACTCGTAGGGTTGGCTGGGGTACGGGGTACTACACCTCTTCGATTTACTTCGACGAGGCCTTCACATAATTAAGATCGAACAGCACTTACAAGTAAAGTCCGATTGATCATGATGCTAATAAGAGTAAGATTATCGAATTTTAGGAAAAAATTAATAAATAATTAAATATATTCAAACGTCATTTACTCCACCTCAAAATAAACATGAGTTATCGATCGTCGCTTGTATTCGCTTGTCGCTGCCTATCCAAGCATTTCTGGGGGCTGGCCGGTATAAACGTGCAAATTTGAATGCCGGGTGCTAGTGTTTGTTTGCACGGGGCGTACATGAGATTATAATACAACCACAGTATTATATATAAGTGTCTGATGAAAAACTTACATTGGCGAGGACATATCAAGTCTGCACAGAGCCATACGCTGCGCGGATTACCATCTTCAAGGTAGGTTGTGAAGTTATGGCGGCCTTATACAACGTTTTTGCAGTCATAGTCATATTCGTAGAGATAAGCATAATAGTTGAAGTACATATGTATTTCTTATGAGTGCGTTTATTTAACTCGTCATAAGCAACAAGGCTGACCTTAAAGTTCATAAGGTTTTAACTCATTATGATTATGGTTAAGCAACTGTTGTATAACCAGCCTTAAGTTAATGGTGGTTTGCCAATTTCTAATTTGGATCAACTGCTCAAATGCAAATGCAGAATATGCAAAAGCGTACCAAATGACTAGAATAATTTTCCTTAAATACCAAATGTATCCTATCTTCATTATTTTTTAGTTTTATTTTGAATACGAGTAATTTATATTTTATTGCCAGGACTAAATACCAAAACGGAGCATACCTCAATTATCAGTGCTACCAGGAAAAATTATGAAGATTTTTGGTATAACATAGAAATATGCCACCATCTGGCAACGCTGCAGACTGTATTTGACGGGTTTGACCAATGCAGCTCAATAGACAGGGTGGGCTTAAGGAAAATCGAGTAAACCTTGCTAAAACATTTTCTAGTGCGGAAAAAATACAGTTTCCGTTTTTAGATAGCAGCGGCTCTGTTGCATCACAGAGGTTGAAAGAACAGTGGGGTTATAAGTGTTTCGAAGAGGTGTATTCGTTCAAGTTCTCAAACAATCGAGTATCGTCGCTCTATCTGCCGTGTTTTATTACCGCATTTATTTATTTGAACGGGCTACCAACATATCAACATTTCATTGTAGAGAAACATAAGTTAACTCATTACTCTACGAAAACCAAAAGTTTTGCAGCTTTGGCCTAAAAAACAAGGTTGGAATCGCTTTAAAATAAACTTATCTCAAAATACCCTTCAAGGTCTTGTAGAGCAAGGTTTTAACTTTAATTTACATACTGGGTGATCTCGAATATTATAGTTTCTTACCGAATTTTTAAACATTGATAATCAAGGCAACCCAGATCAAATTTGTTTAACCAACATTTTTAAATAAATTACACTTTTTTGCCCTCACCTTTTTTTGAGTTTTTTTTAGATCATTCTGAACAAAAAAAACCTTCTATTAACTTTTCTGTAAAGCTGATCATTTTCGAGTTATAACCGATTTAATGTCTGAAAAGCCCTAAAAATGGGTATGTTCAATGCTTAAGAACTCGGTTGAAAATTATAATTTTTGAGGACACCAAGAATGTAAATAAATGTTAAATCCTTACATAGTATTTTGAGATCACTTTATTTCAAAGCGATTTTCAACCTATTAAGCAAAAATTGGCGAACTTTTGGTTTTTGTACACTACATATATACAATACAAAGATAAATATAATAGAAGGCCGAATATATTAACTTAGTTTTGTACATTATTCGTTACATATGGAATATAAGGCTAACGTTGGTCCTAAAGATTATAAGGGCAGGAATCATGTGCGCCCGCAGAAGGGTGCACGGGGGCGATTATTTTTTTGAATAGCTATAATGCAGATTTGTTACTTTCTCGCACGTCGAGTTTTTTTTATTGAAGACATGCATATTTTGGACCTGTTTTACATTTTTATGAAAAAACAAAAATGATTGAAAGTAAAATTGAATCTAATCTAAAAGACTAACAATAGTAGCCAAAAATAATCGTAAAGAGATAGACTAAATCAAAAAGCCTTGTATATTTTTCTACTTCCTTCAAAATTCCGGTTCAATATGCTTCTCGAACATTTTCTTTCCGGTTTACCTCTCTTCAACATCTATCAGTAGTCTGCTGCGATGTTTTTGTACCCGCTACCTTGGTATTTGCTCTCTATAACCTTAACATCTTGATGCAAGGCTCACCTTGTTGTTCACATACGGCACAAGTTTCTCAGAAAAAAGTTTATATGAGAATGCAGAAAATGCAAGTTTATACTTATATTGCATCCTAGTTGGTGAGACTGTGATTCTCTATATTTACATAATCTATTAGGGTCTTGCATTAACTTCCTACGACACAGCCAGCTAAAGTCCCCTCTTTGATCTTCGCATCCGCGTCTATTTGGGCGATTTTTAACCCAAATAATGTTTGCGTAAAAACAGATAGTTTTCAACATCTCCCAACACTATTAAGTCGACTTCACTCTAAAGGGACCGATTCCCAGACTCCAGCACCGATTTTTTCCGCCGTTTCGATTATTAACAGACCTTTTCGGTATCCATAAAAAAATTTAGTTTGTCTCCAATATTTTACATTTTTCAATGTTGTTAGGTATACAATTCTGTTTACAAATATTATAACGGGACTGAGTGCTCTATGAAACAATAAGTGAAGTGAAAGACGTGCCAATATTTCTAGGATAAAAAGTACATCCAATTTAGTACCTAAGTTGCAACGAATTCGGACTAGGTTGTTTGTAACCGAAATGACGTAGTCAGTAGGCATGATGCAAGTTCATACAAGTCGACCAGGCTTATGGCGCCAGTTTGTAGATATTTCACATTAAATTCGTATTTTTTTTCTGCGAAAACATATAAAAAGCAGTTTAACCTAAGTAAGAGCAAATCTTTATATCAATAAATGTTATATACAGGTGTTCCAGAAATATGTGCCAATATTTCTAGTATAGAAAGTAAAACGAAAAATAACAAAAAAAAAGTTCCCTTAATTATGGGTCCAAAGATGCTCCCCTACCGAGAAGG